CTACCTTATTATTAACCCTACTTCCTTAACCCTACCTTATTATTAACTCTACTTCCTTAACCCTACCTTATCCCTTAACTCCCAGTCGGCCTCAGCAGATGGCCGCTCACACTGAGCCTGGTTGTGCTGGAGGTTTCTTCCTGTTAAAAGGGAGTTTTTCCTCTCCACTGTCGCTAGAACCATGCTTAGTGTGAGGGATTGTATATGAATCAATGACTCGATGCAACCAAGTGGTTTCCCTTAGATAGAAAACTTTGAATCAATTTGACTGTATGATCTGGTTGAACTGTAAAGTGCCTTAAGATGACATGTCTTGTGAATTGGTGCTATAGAAATAAACTGACTTGAATTATAAACCCTACCTCCCTTAACCCTATCTTATTATGTAAGATTTTAGTGCTGCCACATCCCATCTGGAGATGTTGAGAGAGAAGTGCCATAACGGTGTTGAAAGTAACGCCGCTACTAACCTTTTTTTAGTAACAAGGTAATCTAACTAATTACTTTGATTGTAACTGTAACGCAGTTACCATTGCCGACACCCCGTTACTGCACGTTACTCAGGTCGCACAATTAACCTTTTTTTCATGATAGGACTCGTTGATAGGGGCTTGTTGGTAATGCAGAGAAATAAAATCACAAAAAAAGAGAAGAAAAAAAAACACAAGACAAGAGGAATTTCTGGTAAATTAAAATATCCGACTGAGAATCCCTAAGACTTAAAAAAAAATCTGCTGTTTGCTGTTTCCTTTCCCTATTAAATGCACAGTAGCATAGTGTTTTTCTGCGAGTGCTTTTTATCGATAAGTGAACTCCACTGATTGATAGTAATTTTTTTTTTTTAGTAGGATTTAATTCGTAGACATGTCTCTATGGTTATACTTCAGATCTAAATTGTCAATCAATAGAAATGATGTGGTAAACTTTTTTGACAGAAATGACGGCAAAGGCCATTACAACCTCAAAATTAGGACAAAATGTCCTTGTAATAAGGTAGTATCCTGGTTATTGTGTGGCAACCACCTTATCAAAGCCTGATTTTATTAACAGATGCCTAAATGGGGGGATATAAGCTGGGTACTAAGGTTTGGTCCTCTGTGTTTTTCCATCCAGGTTGAAGTTCCCTTCAGACTTAGAGTCTCTGCGGGAACTTGCCAACACGCTAAAGTTTTACAAGACGGAAAACTATGGCTACGTTCTGCTGCTGTTCTGTAGCGCATACCTTTATAAACAGTCCTTCGCCATACCTGGCTCGTCCTTCCTGGTGAGAAACGCATAGAAAGAAACAAAAACAAAAAAAACTCATAGAACTGAAAACTCCAACTACTTGTTTCTCCTGTCTTCTTTCAGAACATGTTGGGTGGGGCGATATTTGGACCTTGGGTGGGTCTGATATTGGCCTGCCTGCTCTCCACTTTCGGCTCCACATTCTGCTTCCTGCTGTCCTCGACGTTTGGGAAGCAGTATGTGGTTTACTTCTTCCCTGACAAGGTGGCTCTGCTGCAGAGGAAGGTAGGCATGTCTGTGCAGGGCTCTGTAGTTCAATCAGAAATTACTTTAACTGTGTTTTGAATGGAAATATCTAAATCTGAATATTTGTTGTCAGCGCTCAGTCTTTAAAGTGGAATAAAACAGGGTTCCCACATGTCCTTAAATGTTTTGTTTGTTTTTTTTTGTTTTTTTTTTTTTTTAACAGTGTCCTGTCTGGCAATGTCACAATTTGAATAATTGTCTTCATGCCAAAAAGACCCCAGCAGATTTTGCTTTCATAAGTGGAGCAGTACAGCTTTGGCCATAGTGTTCTGCTTAATTTATGCATGTAAATAGCTTTATTATAATTCATGCAGGGAGTATTACAGATTATATGGATTCTTCAATGTAAGTAGAACAGGAAAGGAAAAACAGAAAAAAAGGGAAAAAAAGATGAAAGAAAGAGGAGATAAAAGGGGAGATAATGATAAAACATTTTCAGTCTGCTTCATCACCTGCAAAGAGATGTAAAAAGAACAGCACAACCAACGGATATAGTATAAGAGATACAATTAAGTAACACCTTGGTACTATTGCTGAAGTATAAGTATTATTATTATTATTATTGAAATATTTTGGTATCAAAAAGAAAATAAGTTCAGGGCCTTGAACTATTATAAACATCCATAAAAAGACACCCATCCTTGAAAAGTCCTTTAATTTGATATCATTAGTTTTTAAGGCCCCGGTTTTAGTGCTTCCTGTATGAAGTCAAAATGTGTAAAACAGGGTATGGAATGAGGGTGAATTGGAGAATTGCCAGTCACACTGAAATATTCACCAAGGTGGTTGGAAAAACTATGGTAGGAAAACATTAATTTCAGGATGCAAGTTTTGCCAAGTGCGTCTGTCAAGGATTCAAAAAATGAACACTCTAGTTTATCACTGGTTTGGAGACCATTTTGAAGCTTGCAACAGAGTTGATGAAGAGCTTCATGGCCCATCAAAGCCTGAAATCATCATCATCAGGTTCGCGTCTCAAATGTGAAACATAATACGAACAAACATTGTAAATTAACCGATCTATCTTCAGTCATCACACAACAACCATCACCGAGACTTCTATAAAGCAGTTTTAGTGGCTTTGATTATTAACACAGACGCGACAGTGACTGCTGCTGCGTAATGTCCATACTTGTATGAAGCCAGCCAGACACTCAAACACACATATTAGGTCTACAACATAAGCCAGAGTGATGTAAAAATACCAACATAAAACAATACAATATAGAGGCAGAAAGGCAGCTCTTCAAGAATTAAAACATGAAAGCTCAGAGGTGTGTGAGCATTCACTGCCAGTCTAGGTGGCATGTGGGCAATGAAATGGAATAATGTAAACAGATGCAAAACCCCATTATGCACAGCAACATATTTTTGCAAAATATTCAAACATAAACAGGCTATACATTCCCATTTCGTTTATCGATTTTGATCAGTTTTTTCAGTGAATTTGCATGATGATAAAATCGCTTATTAGCTATGCCTGCCTGCCTCAATTATGTTTGACTCAAAAATAAAAATGAAACTTCTTTTAGAATTGATATAGACATGAGTATATAGATTCTGGTCCGCCATCCGGCGTCTCAGGAGGGGGAAGCAGTGCAGCACCAACACTGTTTATAGTGGGGATGGTGTGCTGCTGACCTCGACTCGGGACGTTGTGGGTCGGTGGGCGGAGTACTTCGAAGACCTCCTCAATCCCACCAACATGTCTTCCATTGAGGAAGCTGGGCCTGGGGACTCTGGGCTGGGCTCTCCAATCTCGGTGGGCGAGGTCGCCGAGGTGGTTAAAAAGCTCCTCGGTGGCAGGGCCCCGGGGGTGGATGAGATCCGCCCGGAGTTCCTCAAGGTCCTGGATGTTGTGGGGTTGTGTTGGCTGACACGACTCTTCAACATTGCATGGACATCGGGGGCAGTCCCCCTGGATTGGCAGACTGGGGTGGTGGTCCCCCTGTTCAAAAAGGGGGACCGGAGGGTGTGCTCCAATTACAGGGGAGTCACACTCTTAAGCCTCCCCGGCAAGGTCTATTCGGGGGTGCTGGAGAGGAGGGTCCGTCGGATAGTCGAACCTCGGATTCAGGAAGAGCAGTGTGGTTTCCGTCCTGGTCGTGGAACGCTGGACCAGCTCTACACCCTCAGCAGGGTCCTGGAGGGTGCATGGGAGTTCGCCCAACCAGTCTACACGTGCTTTGTGGACTTGGAGAAGGCGTTCGACCGTGTCCCTCGGGGGGCCCTGTGGGGGGGTTCTCCGGGAGTACGGGGTGCCGGGCCCTTTGATACGGGCTGTCAGGTCCCTGTATGACCGGTGTCAGAGTCTGGTCCGCATTGCCGGCAGTAAGTCGGGCTCGTTTCCAGTGAGAGTTGGACTCCGCCAGGGCTGCCCTTTGTCACCGATTCTGTTCATTACCTTCATGGACAGAATTTCTAGGCGCAGCCAAGGTGTTGAGGGGATCCGTTTTGGTGGCCTTAGGATTGCGTCTCTGCTTTTTGCAGATGATGTGGTCCTGTTGGCTTCATCAAGTCGTGATCTGCAGCTCTCGCTGGATCGGTTCGCAGCCGAGTGTGAAGCGGCCGGGATGGGGATCAGTGCCTCCAAATCCGAGGCCATGGTCTTGAGCCGGAAAAGGGTAGAGTGCCTTCTCCGGGTCAGGGGGGGCGTCCTGCCCCAAGTGGAGGAGTTTAAGTATCTTGGGATCTTGTTCACGAATGAGGGAAGAAGGGAGCGGGAGATCGACAGGCGGATTGGTGCAGCGTCTGCCGTGAAGCGGGCACTGTGCCGGTCCGTCGTGGTGAAGAGAGAGCTGAGTCAAAAAGCGAAGCTCTCGATTTACCGGTCGATCTACGTTCCTACCCTCATCTATGGTCATGAACTCTGGGTCATGACCGAAAGAACGAGATCGCGGATACAAGCGGCCGAAATGGGTTTCCTCCGTAGGGTGGCTGGGCTCTCCCTTAGAGATAGGGTGAGAAGCTCGGTCATCCGGGAGGGACTCGGAGTAGAGCCGCTGCTCCTCCACGTCGAGAGGAGCCAGTTGAGGTGGCTTGGGCATCTGTTTAGGATGCCTCCTGGACGCCTCCCTGGTGAGGTGTTCCGGGCACGTCCCACCGGGGGGAGGCCCCGGGGAAGACCCAGGACACGCTGGAGAGACTATGTTTCTCGGCTGGCCTGGGAACGCCTTGGGGTTCCTCCTGAAGAGCTGGAAGAAGTGGCTGGGGAGAGGGAAGTCTGGGCCTCCCTTCTTAAGCTGCTGCCCCCGCGACCCGACCCCGGATAAGCGGAGGAAGATGGATGGATGGATGGATGGATATATAGAATAAAACTGCCGACTGGACTGAAAATATATAGTGGAATGGTGTCGATGGGAATATCTTGTGCACAGCTGGCCTGCCTCTTTCAAAATAACACGATCTTAACAAGCGTTTACGTGAAAGCCTGGATTGTCAATCGGAATATAATTTCATTCTAATCCTTCCAGATCTGATCAGAATATTCTGACTGGCATCTTTACGTGATGCATGTTCAGTGTGACCGGCAGCTTATTCAGATTGCTTATTACCATGTAAATATAGCTATAGATGATGCTCCAAGAAGCTAAATGCTGCCACACATTATACTTTAAGTGCTTGTATTGATGCTAATCTCGATCTGGGAACACCTGTGTAAAAAGTTGTGGTCCTAAGGTTGATAAAGTCGGTGCTGTGTAAAATGTTCTTCAATCAATATGTTAACAATAATCTTAGGAATTGAAAGAACTGAATTTTCTCACCAGTAATACTTTGGATCTTTTAGTATCCAAATGACAGAGATCAAGTACCAGCTGAAAATGGTGCAGAACAGTCTTATGATAGTTTTTCATGTTGTGACATCAATAACAAGAATTCACTATAAATTCAATTTAACCAGTTCTGTTACACAGAAATCACGGTTTGGTTTTGAAGTCAAATTGTGCTGCATATACTGTATAAATATATAGAGTACTGATTATTTTTTGTTTAAATTTAACAGTCCTTGCAAACAAAATCCTGTGGTATGTAAATTAGCTGCTATTTTGGGTTACTTCCCTATATGGTGGAAATATTTAGTTTTTTAATCTTTGCTTTTATCTTCCCACCTACAAATAGTGAAATCAGTATCAGCAATACCTCCCTTTCATCTGTTTGTTTTAATGCTTTTAGATTGAGTTTTTATCCATGTTTCATTTGCAATCAAAAAACAGCTTCTTGGTTGAATTAAATTCTCTTACAGTCTGCCAAGTCTATGAATAATTTTGGGTTTGTGGGCTTCTCTAATGGTTTGTTAATACAAGTTATCATGAAGTGTTTCACTAATATAAAGCAAATTCTCTCATTTTCAATTAATGTATGTAACTTATAAATTTTTCCTAAATCCTAAAAACATTTTTCTTTTTTTTTAATGCCTGCTGAACCTTCCTCTGTTTTCTTCCTGCACCTCTTCCTGGTCCTTCCTCCTCCTTATAGGTGGAAGAGAACCGTAGCAGCTTATTCTTCTTCCTGCTTTTCCTTCGTTTCTTCCCCATGACTCCTAACTGGTTCCTTAACATCACCTGTCCTGTCCTCAACATCCCTATATCTATTTTCTTCTTCTCTGTATTAATAGGTGAGCTAACTCACAAACCATAAAAATGAAAATAACTAAACAGTAGGTCTGATCTCACATCTGCTGCTCTGTTTCCACCTCCAGGTTTGATCCCGTATAACTTCATCTGTGTCCGTACGGGCTCCATTCTGTCCCAGATCTCCTCTCTGGACGACATTTTCTCCTGGGGGACCCTGGCTCAGCTCCTGGCTATCGCTCTCATGGCCCTGCTGCCCGGAGCACTGATCAAACACTACGGCAGAGCTCACCTCAAGGTGGACGGCGTCGACAGTAATGGCACCAGTCAGGTGGAAATCAGCCAGGATAGGAAGAGAAGATGACTGAAAGATGAGAAAGGGACTAAATACTAAAAGAACTCAGGTGGGGAAAGAAACCACTAGATGAAAGCATGCGACCTTTAATCCACGCCAGAAGTGAGATTTCTCTAAGGTCACTGTGGAGACTCAAGACATTCAGGCCGATGTTTGTTATGACCTCATGCTCTTATCCGGTTACATTTAGTCCTTTTCAAAGGTTCATAAATTAAGTGAAATATTAAAATGGAAAAGTTATTATAAAGTTTCCTGAAGTGGGATTTAAAATCCCTTTGGGTTTGCTTTAGGAAAATCCCCTTAGAGGTCACTGAAGCTAAGACTTCATCCTAAATGCAAAGAATTAAAATCACATTTTCCAGAAATTGATGATTATCTCTTAAAGAGAAAAGATCAACTGTCCGCCTGAAGACGATCAAACCTTTATTTTGTTCTATTGAAAATAGATTTGTGATGTGAATGTTGGCTGCTAAGCGTGTTTACTTCCAACATCTCCTATTTTGCAGATTGCTCAGCAGATTGCAGTGTTGTCTGTAAAAGCAGAGAATAACCTCTTTGTGATTTAAAGTAACGTCACCAACCTGCTCCAATTTTCTCTGACTGAAGCGGAATTTAGTCAAAATACCATCGTTTGAAAAAGACACACAATGAACAACAGTATATATATATATATATATATATATAT